GAGCGAAGAGGAGGAAAGCGAAGAAGAAGAAGAAGCGGATGTGAAAGGTGAGGATCTTGAGGGGCTGTCTGACCTTGAATTTTCCGAAAACGAGTTTACACAACCCTCGCTGCGTTTGGGCGTAAAGCTCAAGAAAACCCCACAAGTTAAGAAAAAGGCGGATGACAGTGAGTTATCGAGACGTTTTTCAATAGAAAAACCAAAGCTACGACCAGTAATGGTCAAACGCGATAAGTCGATGAAAAAGGTAGAAGCTGAAAGCGGCGACGAAGACGACGAAAACGAAGAAGAACGCGAACGGCAACTACGATTTAAGTTAGAGAAACCGAAATTACGGCATGTGAAACGCGAAGAGAAGCCCTTGCCAAGCAAGAGTACCGAGGACATTATGAAAATACGGCCGGTTTTGAAAAAGGTGCCCAAAGTCGATGAGATACTCAAAGAACCGAAAGAGGAGCCGAAGCCTGAATTCAAAACGAAACAGTTGCGCAAAGCGCCGTCAATCAAGCGTGATCCCAGCATCAAAAATGGTGAGTTTTCGTGCAGGCAGTGTGAAATGAGGGTCTGCGACTCAAGCCCCGCATTGCAAAGTTCGAATTTAAAATATTCTCAAATAATTAAATTGAAATTCAAATAATTTATAAATAAGCTAAACTAATCAACGAAAGGTCAACAACATTTTTGAAAACGAAGAAGCAAAGATGGCAGTTTTGAATTTAATGTAGTGATGCACCTTAGATGAATATAGCGCGTAGAAATGGCACGAAGGCTTCTCCTTGAACGGCTCTCCTAACCCGGCTGTATTATATGAAAAACGCTTGATTAACCCTTTAACATGCAAGCGTGTGCGTTTCGTAAGTAAAAAACAACAAAAAAAAACATAGAACCGGAAGCGTCTTGTCGCCTTTTTCCACGTCGTTTTGTCCCTCCGTTATTTATTATTATATTTGTACTTTTCTTATTGGTCATCACTCATTTCATTTCGAATTCACACTTGTTCTAAAATGTTTTGAGCAGAGGAATTTCTATTAGAGAAAGTAGAAGTCGAAGTCGAAATCGAAATCGAAATATAATAGAATAAACTGCGCTGAGTACAGCCTACAACAATTGAGGTCAGAAAATTAACACTTTCTACTTACACATACACTTTCATATATACATATGTACATATATGCACACAAATACTTTTTTTTTTGGGGGAATAGCGAGTGCTTGTGCGATTTGGAGTGGTTTGAAATACAAAAAATTTCGTATGCTCTTAAAGCGCGTAAATCATTTGGAATTTTCACTTTTTTCAAGAGCCAGGCATTCTAATTCTTCACAGACAACTTGCCACCCACACTTCACACTTCTAAGCATTGGCTTCGAATATTCTGCTGTCGTTTTTTTTTTTTGTTTTTATTGCATATATGTATGTATATTTTTAACCATGCCAGTGGATATACGGAACGGACGTTCATAGTTTCGCTTTTTAATTTTGGACACAAGTCTCCGCAAAAAGAATTCACAATTTTTGTATCAAAAGCAACAAAATGATAAGCGATTACGATGCAATCAATGTTTATGAGGTTCGTTAAATTCTATGAACTAAAGTAGATATTTTAAATTTTACGATTCATTTCATTTCAATCGGTTTCTGTGAAAATTTAAGAATTTAAAAAAAATATTAACTACAAATGAATGTTTTCCTTTGTAAACTTTATTGGCAGCACCAAGACAGCTCCTTACCGGGATAACTTTTTACCTGCTGGATTCGGAGTCCAGCCTGGTTCTGACATATTTTTAAACATCATATATTTAAAACTTTAAGCAAACAAGGGTTAACCTTAACAATGATGGTTGCATGAATATATAGAATATTTTTAAAGGAAACTAACAGGGCAATTCTGGCTAAGATAGTAAAACGTCTTTCGTAAGACAAATGAAAGACAGATGGCAAGATATGTAGTCCGAAAGACTTTTATTATTCTAGCACCAAAGTCTTAGAAAAAAGCTCTCTCATTCACCCCACGTGGTGAAAAGCTATTTCGAGAGAAAGCACTTGTATATCATTTAGCTCACGTCGGTCAAACAGTCGCAATGGCCGAGTGAGAATAGCACAGGCATCCGAGTTCGAGTCTCGGCCATCGTTTTTTTTCTTTTCCTTAATTAATTTTATTTTTCTTTTTTTATTAATTTTTTTTTTGTTTTTTCATTTATATTTTTTTTATTTACATTTTGTTCTATTTTCTATTAATTAAGAAAAAAGAATTATTTTAATTTCATTTAATTTTTAAATATATATTTTTTTGTATTTATTATTGCCTTTTTCATTTTTTTTTTTATTTAAATTTTTTTTTTCGTTTGATTGTATTAAAAAGAAAATAAACAAATATTTTTTATATAAAAAACCTTATTGCTAAAAGGCGAACAGCATACGGCTAAGACTTCCTCTTCAGCAGATCTTTCAATTAGTCTTTCGAAAAACAGTTGCCAGAATTGCCCTGTAAGCCATTGCTCGAGCTACGATACTAGCCGGTTCTGGCATGACAAGGCATTAGAAGCTTAACTCATCAAAATGCTTTGTAGATTTTTTGACAAAGTCCACCTGGATCGATTTTTATGCGCATCAGTTTTATAAAATTTCGTGGCATAAAATGCAAGGAGAGCAACACTCTTTTTACCTCCCTTTTATTATTACCTCCCTTTTATTAGCTCGGGATGTAACTATGTAATATTGATGCGCCTAAAAGATGCAGCGATTTCTATTCTCAAGTTACATACCTGACGACAGTACGAATGGCAATTATAATAGGGAGGTTTTAGTTTTTTAAACTATAATTTTTATTTCTGATTGCATAAATATATCGAGCCATACACTAAAGCTTCTTAATTTAGATCGAAATTTGTTTTTCAAATAAAGTCCTTTGTTTTGTTGTTATACAAATGCCACCCCACTTAAGGCCATATTAAGTTACTCGTGTGTTACTAAAATATAAAAGTGGAAAAAATATAGGCTTTCAGGATGTCAATAGCTGTGAGCCGCCTCTAAATTTTCCTCAATTCAACTAAAACTTTTATTTCGTACTTTTTGTTCATTCGCATATTTCTATGTTGTATGCCCGAGAATTTGGATAGTTTTCCGAATAATATGCATACATATGTACATGCATTTGTGACGTATGCGTAATTCAAATTTAGTGCAGTTATGTATGTAATTGAATTGTAAAATGCCATTATTTGTAAAGAATAAAACAATTTCTGGAAACAGGCATCGATGATGTGCAGCTAATACAAAAAAAATGCTTCAAATAAGTGCATGAAAAGCTACAACCTGCTCAATATGTAGATCAAACAAAAAATCGAACTTGTTACTTCACCAGTTTTAATAAAAGCAGAAAAATACTACCGCTATTTATTTATATGTAAGTATATAGGCATGGAGTATACTTTAAAACAAGTAAGGACAACGCTGTCTTCGGCTGTGCTGAAGAAGGCTTTATACCTTTCATGACCATCTGAGAACTGAACTTTAACCTGTTACTGCATATTTAATGAGTTATTCGGGAGCTGCACATATTATGAACTTGATTTTCACTGTGAACTTTTTATATGTGATGATAAGGAAATTGGGGACGTGAATGTTGGACTTCAACTACTTAGATGCACGAGTTAAGGAGGGATGATTATAAGAAAAACTCACATCTGTACAATCAGTGTTATGAGAGATATACCTTATAGAGCACCGATCTTTGACGATTTTCTCTGCAGACATTGCATGATTAATTAGTAAATAGTTCTCGAAATTTCACTGTTTTAGCTGCATAAATGGAGGAGTTATAACGAAAACCCATATCTGAACAATCAGTTTTAGGAGAGGCGGAGAGCGTAACGATTATGACCTTTAAAATAAAAATCATAATTTAACCGATACAAATTTATTTCTCTTTTCCCGGACAAGTACAGCCGTTATTTGATAATCTTAATTTTTTTTCGTTATTATAACGGTTATTTTTTATATGATAAAAGATTTAAGAGACTCCCTCTGTTTTAACGGTTAGAAATTATGGAAAAAATGCAAATAGCAAAATAACGGTTAAATTTGCTTGAAAAAAATAAAGATCCTTTAACGACTATTCTTGATGGACAAAATCATAAAATAAAGATTTTGCAATGTTCTAAAAATAAAAATCTTGATATTTAACGATGATTAGCGGTTCCTAATGGAGTTAGTCCGATATTACCGGTTCCGAGAAATTAGTAATACATTTTAAACAATACGCTCCCGAAAAATTTCCGTCAGATATTTTGAAAACTGAGGGACTAAAATGCGTTAAAATAGACAGACGGACGGACGGCTGGTGAAGTTAAGATATTTTTTACAAGGAGGCAAAATCAAGCTTTCCCTAGATCTACTTTTTCCGCTTAGTGTAGTCGGGGTCCATTCCTGGAATAAAAAACTGCTTTTGGGTCAGTCAATCAGGCACTTGCGGCGGAAATAATTCCCTAACGGATGAAAAACATGCTTGGAAAATTTTAAACGATGCTTGGAAATATAAAAAAAAAACTAAATATCCCGTTTCTCAATTTGATATGAAATATTTTTATTTATTTAAAAACTATTGGCAATTATCGAATCGCTGCTTATATCACTGATAATTTGCTTCTCGTTTATCGTTTTTAGACGGAATCATTTGCTCAACCGCGTGGATACTTGGCGTATGAGTAAAATTATTTCCTGTTCATATTTCATACAAAAAAAACGAATCAATGAATTTGGCAATCGATAAGTCGAAAGTTTTTAGAGCCACCATCACACGGGCTTTTTATTTTCGAATTAAAATCAGCCTGTAACTAGTGTTACTACTATGAAAAGCATTTATACACAATTGTTAGAGAAGCTTGGTAAATGTTGTGATGGGTTTTGTGCAAATGTATGTATGTATGTATGCACAAAGGAAATGTTGCCAACATTTTATAACGCTCCACATATTTTCAACGGCTCGATGAATATTATTACTGGGAAAAAGTGGCGGCCTTTTTTCCCTTTCAGCTGCACGGTGATTTTCATTGCATTTCCTTTGAATTTGCTTTTTGCGCCCATATCGTGAATGGCGAAAAAATAAAGTGGAATTAGCGATTGGCAGACTGATGGAAACGATTGAACGGTTGAACACCGAACCCAACGAAATGCTGCACTGTTCGATTGAATCAAAGTATTTGCCCTTAACTTTAGCTTTTCATACTAAATTTGTTTACCAAACATTGTTGAATTATCGTATTGTCACAAAAAAAAAAGTACAGTAAATATGGGTAAATGCTGGATTCGTGAATCGGTAATCACAAGCAGGCGACGATTGATGGACTTCGTTCATTGCCACAGCCACACTTATGCAGACCTGCAGACCCACCCTTTCGAAATGTGAAAACACAAACAGCACACTCACATAAACGCGTATTCAAAAATGGCGTTGCGCGATGCAAAAAGGCCGAAAATTATTAAATTATTGGTAATATATATAATTCAGTTGCAGCAGCAGTGGCCCACAAA